AAGTATCTGAAGAATATAATGCTATCATTTTGTTAAATGCTATTCCCGACACTTATAGAGAAGTTAAAAATGTTATTAAATAAGGGGGAGATATTTTAACACCTAAAATTATCATAGACTTGTTAAGAAGTAAAGATGTGAAAATGCGAGCCGTAAGAGTCGAAAGAAAAAGTGGTGAGGTTCATTGATGAGAGGTATGTCTCGGTCTAGGACTCGTGATAACCAAAGTGGATACGCATATGGTAGTACAAAGAAAAATAGAAGTCTATCTAGGTCAAAAAGTAAATTTAAAGATAGAAAATGCTATGGGTGCGGTAAAACTGGACATTTCATTAAAGATTGTTATGTTGAGAAAAACAAACAAAAAGAAAAGGTTTACGACGAGGCAAATGTTATTTCTTCTGATGAATGCCGTGAAGTTTATGTGTTATTGAACTCTGAACCTACTGAAGTAAATCTGATTGTAAAATCACATTGCATGAATGGATACTTGATTATGGTGCATCATTCCATCATCACATAAAACCTAGTTTGAAAATTTGCAAGAATCTAAAAGTGGTCATGCTATTTTGTACAATAATCATACATATAAAATTGCTGGAATTGGTGATATCACGTTAAAATTTGACACTAATTATGTGCTTAAATTACATGGAGTCAAATACATTCCTGAAATGGTTAGGAATCTTATTTCGGTAAGAGCATTAGAAACTAATATTTTTCTGGTAAAATTGGAAACATGTTAAAAATCATTAAGGGTGCTCTGTCACATGTAAAGGTACTAAAAGAAACGATATTTATGTGACTACTGCTGAAATTATTAAAAATTCATCTTCTTCTATAAATTTGACCAACACGGATGACACATACAAGTGACACAATAGATTAGCTCACATAAGTATTAAAGAACTTAAATTGCTAAATGATAAATGTGTATTTGGAAAAGACTGTGTGTCTAATATGCCTTTTTGTGATTATTGTGTGCTTGGTAAACATCATAAGCTATCTTTCTCATCTAGCATACATAAAACTACTAAAGTTTTGGAATATATTCATACTGATTTATGGGGGCCTACTACTAATCCTACAATTGGTGGTAATATATATTTTTTGTCCATAATTGATGATTATTCTCGTAGGATGAGAGTTTATCTGTTAAAAGATAAAATTGAAACCTTTAAAAATTTCAAAATATGGAAATTGAAAGTTGAAACTCAAACTGGCAAAAAGATAAAATATCTAAGAACTGATAATGGTCTAGAATTTTGTAATAATGATTTTGATGATATGTGTGAAAAATGTGGAATTACTTGACATAAAATTGTTCCTTATACACCTCATCATGACACCTTCTACTACATTAAATGGTGATACTCTGCATGAAAAATTATGGAAAATGTGCTAACTATACTATGTTAAAAACTTTTGGTTGTACTGTTTTCTCTCATGAAAATGAGGGAAAACTAGAACATAGAGTTAGGAAATGTGTTTTTTTAGAATATCCTGAAGGAGTTAAAAGGTATAAACTTTGGGATAGAAGTCAAACTGGAGTTAAGATCATCATAAGATGTGATGTTACATTTAATGAATCTGAAAATGTCATGTCCAAAATCAGAGAGTGACGCCTTGAGAGAAAAACAGCAAGATAATCAGAGTGAAAATATTGAGAAAGATGAGGTTATAGAGGAATATCAAGGAGAGCAAAACCCTTTGTCCGATTATTAGTAATCTAGAGATAGAATTAGGGGAACATATAAGGTGCCTCAAAGGTTAGAGTCTAATTTTGAACTTGCTTATGCTAGTCATGAAGAACTAGTTGATAGGGAACCAAACACGTATGAAGAAGCCTTGAGGAGTGAACAATTTGAGGATTGGTGAAAAGCGATGAAAGAAGAGATAAATTCCCTCGATAAAAATCAAACATGAGAGTTAGTCCTAAAACTTAAAGACAAGTGTACTGTTGGGTGTAAATAGGTTTTTAGAATAAAGGAGAGAATCAACAAAAGAGAGACTTTAAGGTTGAGGCTAGACTTGTGGCCAAAGGTTACACACAAAAGAAAGTGGTAGATTATAATAAAATCTTTTCTCCAGTTGTTAAGTATACTACAATTAGGACTATGCTTGCATTAGTTGTGCATTTTAATTGAGAACTTGAACAACTTAATGTTAAAATTGTTTTTCTTCATGGTGAACTTGATGAAAAGATTTTTATGGATCAACATATAGGTTTTTAAAATAAACAAAACCTGATCATGTGTGTTTTCTTAAACACTTTTGTATGGTCTAAAACAATCTCCTAAACGATGGTACAAACGTTTTGATTCGTTCGTTCAAACAATTGGTATTAAAAGGAGTGAATTTGATCATTATTTATACTATCAAGGAAATGCAAATAATAATTGAGTGTTTTTATTGCTATATGTGGATGATATGTTTTTGATTGGTCCCAACTTGAAGTTGTTAAATGATATAAAAACTACTTTGAATAATGAATTGGATATAAAAGACCTAGGTAATACGAAAAGAATCTTAGGCATGAAATTTCAAAGAGACACGTCTAATTCATTTTTATTTTTGCATCAAGCTGCATATATCATGAAGATTTTGAAAAAAAAATTAGCGTGAATGAATGCAAACATGTTACATTGCATTTAGCTAATCATTTTATATTATCTAAAGAACAATCACCTACTAATGAAGAGGAAGATGAATTTATGAAAAACTTTCATATTCAAATGTCATTGGTTCTGTTATGTGTCTAATGGATACCTGACTTAGCCTTTGATATTAGTACACTTAGTAGGTATATGTTCAACACTGATTCCAAACATTGAGAAACTTTAAAATGGTTGTTTAGATATTTGAAAGGAACATGCAATGCTATCTTAAGATATAAGTTTAGTACTGAGGTAAAATTAAAAGGTTTTACTGATACTAATTATGCTGGTGACATAGATAATAGAAAATCTACTTCTTCCTACGTATTTACTTTGTGTAATTCATATGTTAGCTGGAAATCACAACTTCAACATGTTGTTGCATTATCCACTACTGAATCTGAAAATATAGTTGCTACTGAAGCATTTAAAGAATCTTTGTAGTTTAAAGGTGTATTAAATGAATTTGGTGTTTTTGATGACAATGTGACAATATATTCTGATAGTCAAGCTGCTATTCACCTATGCAAAAATCTTGTCTTTCATGAATATACTAAACATATAGATGTTAGACTGCATTTCATTAGAAATATGGCTTCTCAAGAACTGGAAAGTCCTTTTAGAATATAATCCTGCAGACATGGGAACTAAGGTGCTCCAATTGGTAAAGTTTAAAAGCTACCTTGATCTTCTAAATATCGGTACAAGCTTGTAAGTCTCTTTCCTTAAGTTATTTGTTATCTTATCTAGCTTGCGGTTGTTATTTTAGTGATACTCAAATAACCCCTAGGCAATGATGAAAAATCGTGGCCTGTTTGTCTTCATAAGCTATAAGCTCGGGATTGAAGAATATTAATAAATCCACACCACAATCGATGTAACCCAATCCTGTTGGGTATTTAGAGGAAATCAGCCTATTGAGTTGGGTGCTTAATACCCAATTTTGGAGATAATTTTGAAAAGGGATTTCTATCACTTTTCTCACGTGGAAGTTAGATGGTTGCACTATCCTTATCCTTGGTAACCATTTCAATTTTCTTGAACTCTATCTTGGGGAGAAAAATGTGGAAATTTGTTTGTCTCTTTTGCTTATAAATTAAGGTCACTTGGCTTCATTTTTTCACCACCAAAAATCGTCCATTTTTGCCTCTTCTTGCTGCCTTTGTGTGCTAATTGTTTTGCCATTTCTTCCTACCTTTGTGTGCCATTTTCTCCGCCTCCAAAGTTCTCCAATTTGGTGTTGCTTTTGTCGCGTTGGATTGAATTTTTTTGAGTCTAAATGAAAAAGGGAATTCATTTTGAATCTAGTTTCTTCTTCAATGTTTTTTGATTTCCTTTTAATGTTTTACTTAATTCATAACTCGCTTCTTTGATTTGTTCAATTGTAGGATGAATTAGGATCAACAAAATAGATAAGCTTCATCTCTAAATGGATTTTTCAGAAAAGAAAAGAAAAACATTAACCATGAAAGTATTTACGTTTTTCTTTCAATTTTTATTTAATTTTTAATCATACAAATAAATAAAAACGATGGATTGAACCAAATTGGTCTGAAATATTGGTGGGTCATACAGAACAATTTGATCCATAAATTTGAAAGACAATTCAAGTTAGACCAGAACTATTACAAGTTTAGGAAGTCCGAATGCAAGCAGATCGACCCAACTCGTGCTGACACCTTTAAGCATAACTCTGGCTGGGCCAGCTAGCCACATCCAGCCTTTTTTATTTCATTCAATATGGCTGCTCACTCGATGTTGCATCTCATGATTTTATTGCGAATTACCAAAGTAACTGTAACATACAATAAAATAAAGGAAAACTCAAATGCGAGTGTATTCACAATCTTGTGCATAATTTTCTGTCTGATTTTTTCAAGCAAATATGGTTTACACCTAGTTTGGACTTTGGTGCAGCCATTTACGTGGTCGATCAAAAAAATAAATAATAATAATAATAAATAAATAAATGTGTTGTTACATTCTTTCATTTTGAGCTTAGTTTCATCGACAAATTCAGATCAAAGATTGATTGTTACACTCTTGGAACTTGGCTACTAACAATGCAAAAATTTTATGCTCTCAAACAAACAAATTTCATGTTATCATAGTGAATAATAATCATAACAATTATTTGTACAATCTAAAACTAGTAAAAATCACTCATATTTCCACTAGCTAAAGGTGTGAAAAGGGGTCAGCTGCTAAATCATACATGCCGACCACACAAATAAATACACCAAAATATACTTTAATGGCATGTTTAGTAAAGCAGGTTAAATTGGACTACACCGTATCAGTACAATCTAATACTACCTACTACCAGACATGCATCGACTGTACTTAACAAACATCGCTGACTCCTTGAATCTTATTGCTTAACGGCTTTCCAATTTGTAAACATTGAACGGGAGGAACTGTAGGAGTGTAGAGCTCTCCAAAAGTCTGCCAACAATATGGATCATACATATGGTAGTGTTCTTGCAATGGCTGCAGTTTTATGTTCGTGAGAGTGACATCAGTACACGGCATGCTGTCACTGCAAGCAAAGTGAACGGGTTTTACCGTATACGTTCCTCTTATATTTTCGTAATTGATCCCCGATAGTGCCACGGCTGCAGTTTGGTTGGTGCATTCTCTTTTGTCGCAATAGTATTGGTCAATTACGATAGGTAGTTGAACTTCAGAAACTTGGACGTTCGAAAAGAGTATTCCTTGCACTGATCCTGATCCGCCCTGCACGAACAGCTCGAGGTTTTAGAGGAAGTAGTCATTTCAAAAAGTTATAGAGATGCAAACGACATGTACCTGCCAAGTTTTTATTCGGACACCGTTCATCGTGTTATGCATAACAATGTCGCGGACAGTAATATTTGAAACACAAGCTTTGGTGTTATCTTTTCCTAAGCCTCCAATGCTGATTCCATGTCCTGGTCCACAGTTAACATTGTGTATGTACACATTTGTGCACCCAGTTTGTATAGATATACAATCATCCCCTGCACATGACATTTCAATTGTCAATAAGTTTTAAGTTTCTCATAAGCAAGTAAATTTGAGAATAATTGACCAAGAGGACAAAATAGAAGAAATTGAATTATGGGACAAAAAAAAATTGTCTCTACTTTGTGGGGTTGGAAAGTTCAGAATTCTGTTTTCAATTTAGGCCATTGGATTTAACAGTGTGTTAGATAGGGTCACAAGATTGTGAGCACATGCTTGAGTAACATGTGCCAACATTTCCGTGGCTTGATCTTAGTGATGTCGTTAATATAGGGCCCCTAGGATAAGATTTTAGCAAAATGGATACCAAATTTGTCTCAAGTATCAACTCCTATGATGTGATAGCTGTAGTGTATGATTATATTGTGCACACTCGAACACGAAATGGATGAAAGGATAAAGAAGAAAATATAGGTATTTACCGCAAGCAAGATTAGAACTTCGAATAAGAACATCTTTTGAGTTTTGCAAGTGAATTCCGTCTGTGTTTGGGCTATCACCCGGAGATGAGACGCTGAAATTGTACACCATAACTCCAACGCAATTATCGAACTTGAGGTGACATTGAGGACTGTTTTGAATTTTAATGCCGGTGACTGTAACATTGAAACTCCCATAGAACCTCAACGCCTGAGTCGATTAAGAGCACAATAAATACTTTGTTACTTTTATTTTAAATCGAGTCTTGAATACATGATATGGACAATTGACATGTAATGAAGGTTAAAAGTGGTACTTACCGTCGGTTTGATTCTCGGCATTTTTCCACCGAGCGAGCCTCTCAACTGTCACAAGAATTTTACAAAAATACAAAAAGATCAGATTATGTATAAGCTTTAAATATGTGAGAAGGATTATGACAAGGAGAAATTATTACAGGAATTGGATGATTTTGTGGCAACGAGCTATTTAAGGGTACAATTAATTTTGATTCATCATCTATGGGATCATCATAAGAGGAATCTTGCCACCAAACTGCACCATTTCCATCTATAGTGCCACTTCCTTGGATTGTAAGTCCTACAAGTTTTGTGAATTCGAGCCATTGTAGAAGCCCCGAACCCCATTCTTTCGAGCTTGTTGGAGCAATAATCGTACCGTCTAACTGCACAAGATTGTTTAGCCGGACCATGAAAACATAGCTAAGTTTAAACGAATCAAATGAGGTGAAAATCTCCAGTACGATTTTAGAAATACCAGTGATTTTACTAGGAAAACATAGCTAAGTTTAAACGAATCAAACGAGGTGAAAATCTCCGGTACGATTTTAGAAATACCAGTGATTTTAGTAGGCAAAATAAAATATACATATATTTGTGCAATTATAATTACCTGGAAAACAATGTTATGCTGACAATATGGACCAGAAAATGAAATGGGTCCCACCAAGAATACATATTCTGATGGTACATTAACCGTTGATGCCTCCACCTTACAAGCAGCAGCCCATGCAGCTTGGAATGCCTGAATTCCACGGTAGAAATTGAATCTTGAATTAAGCTCTAATCTTTATATACAAATTATAATTATAATAATTAAAATGAAATCAGACAATGAGAAAAGCACAAAAAATTATAGTAAAAATATAAGACAACCTAAAAAGTATAATTGAATCTTAATTTTCTCGAGTCCCATATAATTAAGTTTTAACATTAAACAGTTGTTAGCAACAGTTTGCTATAATGGTTGAATTTAAGCATAAACTGTCATAACAAAAATCATTTGAGTGGGCCCTCCTTGATTTTGTTGTCCATTCATTTGGCAGTTTTATATAACTCTTCCCCATGGAATCAAATAAAAAGTTTTTTCTTTTTTTTACCCTAAATGTAAATACAGCTGGAAATATGTCACGGTTATCTGCCTTTTGTCTTCACAATATGAATTTAGCAAACTCAAATTAACAAAACTTAGACATTATGTCCTACTACGTTAAAATATAGATTTTAATATAAACTAAAGATAGCATTTAATTTTAACCACATATTTTATGGGCCCCACAACTTTTCAGACACAAATTTCATCAGCTTTTATGAAAATCTACTAAAAATCTGATTTTAATCTTCACCAAACAGGGGCTATAACTAATATACGTACATTGTCCAATCTAATTCATTAAACGCACATAATCTATTTTTTATTTTTCTTTTTGCACTTGGGTTAAAACCTCGTACAACCTGGGACAAGTAGTCCTACGAATTTTTGTTCCTGTCATTGTTCAACACAAATACATTAGGTGGTTCTCTAAGTGTGACTTTGTGGAAATTGCTAAAAAGAGTGAACGATAATTGGAATAAATGCCCCAACTTATGGCTGAATGCTGAAATTTTCTAGTTAAACTTGAAATGCAGGGCACCACAGGGAAAAAAGTTGGAATCTAATTAATTTCAACTATATGAAGATAGGAAAAGCAATTATTTTCATTTTAGTTAATTAATTACCTTAGTGTCATCTGTGCTTCCATCTCCCTTGGCTCCAAAGTCTAGCACATTGAAGACAAGGGAAGATGCTGGAGCTGTAATGTCTCCACCTTTCTTCGGCGGCTTTGTTGGCGGAGCCGGTGGCGTCGATAGTGGTGGTGAGGGTGGTGGAGGAGTTTTCTGTTTTGACTTGCCACCATGATTGTGGTGGTTGCCGCCGTGATGCTTCCCTTTCTTCTTCGAAAGAGAAGTGAAATCGGTTCGTCTTTGCCTCCAATGCTTGCCAACTCTTCTTGCATTGGAAGTTTCAATATTCGACCACCAAACAAGAGCAACGACAATAAGAAAGAATGTGAAGTTTTTGAAGCTAAAACCACCCATTTTAGAGAGAGTGCGGCGGCGCCGGCGGTGGAGGGTGGTGGTGGTGGTGGTTTTTATGAAGATGGGCAACAGAGAAGGTGTGTGGAGTTTTATATAGCAAGGATATGGTAGTGAAACTGTGCAAGACATGAACAAATATTATAACATAATACAAGGATATGAATTCTCATGTTTTATTCTGTATTAATTATGTTTTATTAATTACTTTTCACTTTTACTTTTTGTGAATTTTGGTTAGGAATTATTAAACTAACTGGTCCAGTCTTGCCATATGAAGCTCTGTATGTAGCTTTTTTGACTCTTACATTTGTCCACACAAATTGCACATTGCTAGTCTGCACGTGTCTTAGTCCCAACTAGCCAAATTTTCTGCAAAATTCCCGTCATTATCTATTTATATAAATAATAATAATAATAATAATACGCCTAAATTGTGAATTGACCCAATTGCCCTTTAAGATGATCCAGTCGGTCCGCACTTTTCTATCAAATTGGACAAAAACATCGCCTGCAGTAAAGTGCCTTACTTGACACGAACCCTAGGTACGAGCCAAGCCGGCCATTGATCCCAACAAATTTTTTTTGTTGCACTTAAAAAGTCCAAATAAAAAAGGTCGATGTATTTTGACACTTAAGTAAATGTATCGAGTCTATAAGGCTTAGACTAGACCTTTTAGAATTTTGCTACTTTACCAGATGAATTTTAACATCTTTAACAGATATGCAGGTGGATGAAAATGATTGGAAGAAAATGATAATAGTGTATAAAATAGTCCAATGATATATTATCATGTGACATCTTATCTGTCAACAAAGATGACACCTAATTGTTTTTGTAATTTCTTTCAGTTCTTCCGTATATCTGTAGATCTGTACGTGTACGTTTTTATTATTAATTATGTGGAATGATTAGTAAATAATTAAATACTAATTATTTTCATTAATAATTTAAAGTAGAAGCCTAAAAGACACGTGAGTGGGTCTATAAGTTGTCAATTGCACTGATTATAACAGCTCTTTATGGTCACATGCAACGTTCACGGGCTTCATTTTTGTACGTAATTTGTCTTCTTAACTAGCAACACTCACTTCCGACCCAGTCCCATTAAACCTTGTGCGCTAGCCACATAATCCGGGTTAAGTTTATCGTAGTTATGACAATGTCAATTATGAACAAATGATATATATGATTCGGACAACTGTAATACGTGAGATCTTCATCGTCTGTTCCTCGATATTGTTGCGTACTAAGGAAACATATATCCTATAAACCAAAACTCGAGAACTCTATTAGGTTTACAAACAATTTCTAGAGCACGAGAGAATGAATTTCAGCTTCAATCCACACAATTTTAGCTTTATAATTATTCTTTTACCTTTTTATGTTTTTCATTCAATTTTGGTGACAGAATAGATAAATATTCTAAATTCAAATCTCACGATAGCACAATTATAAAAAATCGTACATGTGTCAAGCCTTCGACAACAAAATGAACATGTGAAGAGACATGTTAAATATGAACTTAACTGTAAAGCCTTTTTCGACACTATTGATTATGTGATACAAGCAAAAGAAAAAAATTAAAAGTAAAATAATTTATGCAAAACAAAAACCAATACTATGGGAAATAATTGGAACGAAACTCTTGCACGCCCATGGTTTCACTATATTTTACGAACGTGGGTTTGTCTTTTGGTACTAAAAAAAATAAAAATAAAATAAATACAACTGTGCCAAGTACATTAGTACAATAATGCAATATTTTTCAGAAAATTAAAAAATCAAAATGATGACATTTTTGAAGCCCATTTTTGGATTGATGCCTTAAGATGAACAAATTTTTTTTTTTTTTTTGAAATATTTGGGATATTTTATTTTTTTATTTTTTATTTATAGAATTCTGCTGTAAGGATTTTGTACTACGTTTTGCAGATGAAATACTCGAATTCATGCAGGTTTAATACAAAATAATTAGATAAATCGTGCTTTGTGCTTTCAAAGTTGGTTGATTTTCTTCTCTGTGTTGTTCAAACAAAATAAGGTAGGATGAAGACAAGTCATTTGGGAATTGGCGACATAAATAATATTTTAATTGCATTGCACTATTGGTATTCAACCTATTGACCGATAAGCAAGTTAGTCTACAACATTTAGTCTCTGTTTGATAGAGATTAAAATCAGATTTTCAGTAGATTTTGATAAAAATGATGAAATGTGTGGTTGAAAGTTGTGGATACCATTAAATGTGTGATTAAATTAATTGTTGACTTTAATTTAGATTAAAATCTTGATTTTATTTTTCATCAAACAAGGGCTTAGTAACTTAGTCATGAATATTTCATTATAGTTATACAACTGGTCCCTAATAATAAAATTATCGATCCTCATATATCCAATTTTCCCAAAACTAGATTTTGTTTCTCATCTTTGAGACTCATGCGACACTTTTTGAAAATATAACTAGATTTAGATAATTTTTTTATCGGTAAGAACTAATTTTGTTAATGCTCAGTTGTATCTCATTTAAAATTGGAAATCAACTTGCTACTCGAATAATGCATTGAAGAACAACATTGCAAATTCACAATTTTTGGAAAAAAAAAAAAACATATATTTTTACACTAATTAATAGAATAAATAATAGACAAATGTGTCTCCATCATTATATCTGTTGGGCAAAATTCACAGTTATGGTACTGTTTGTGAGCCACATCTCATTTTCTTCAATTCCTTGGGACTTTGACTCTGCTGACACTACCCTTTAACATATGTCAACTCTCACATGCAGAAATTGCATGTAGAGTTTACCATATATTCAGGTGAATTTGGTAAATTATATAATATTAAGGATTAAACAAAAGCAAAAATGAAAATAAACTAGGCAATTTGTTTGAGAAAAATAAGGAAAATACATTGCATTTGAATAAAAAGACATGTATATGATTTGAGCCTTTGCTTTCAAGCGACACATTTTAACAAATCTTGTCAAGATCTTGTGTCTATCTTATGAGCTTACTATCAATTTGTTAGTTCACATTACAATGTTAATATATTCAAAATTCTAGAATGTGAAAATGGCAAGCAGATAGGAGAAGAAGTAATGATTTTGAACTTGGTTATTCATTCAATGAACGTCATAATATATAGGTAGATTACAAGGAAGTTTTAAATTTAAAATATACAGAAAAAGTAAGAAACTAATTAACAAACACAGTGATCAGAAACTATCAGAAACTAAAAATTGTTACAGAATTGTTACAAAACTAAAAAGCCTAAAATATAGGAGAGTAGACTTGGTCTTGATCCTTGTGTGCGTCCAACACCCCCCCTCAAGTTGGAGTTGGAATTGAAATGTCAAGAACACCCAACTTGCTAAGTAGTCGGCGATAAGCATCACCTCCAACTGGTTTTGTAAAAATGTCCGCCAACTAGTCGTTAGAACGTAAGAGGGAAGGAGCAATGAGACCTCCTTGAATTTTTTCTCGAATAAAATGACAATCAATCTCAATATGTTTGGTGCGTTCGTGAAAAACAGGATTTTCGGCAATGTGAATAGCAGCTTTGCTATCACAATGAACTACAATTGGTTGTGAATGGTTGAAACCAAGATCTGAAAGAAGATATTTTAACCATTGCAACTCAGAAGTAAGTGCAGCGAGAGAACGATATTCTGCTTCTGCAGAAGAACGAGAAATAGTTGGTTGTTTCTTGGTTTTCCATGAAATAGGACTAGAACCTAACATGGTAAAATAACCAGTGGTGGATCGACGTGTAGTAGGACAACCGGCCCAGTCAGAGTCAGCATATCCAACAAAAGTAAGAGAGCTAGATGCAGAAAGGAATAATCCTTTACCAACAGTACCTTTAAGATAACGAAGAATTCGGTGGCAGCATCAAGATGAGTCGAATGAGGAAATTGCATGAATTGACTAAGTGTGTTTACGACATATTGTATATCTGGTTGTGTGACAGTAAGATATAAAAGACGTCCCACCAGTCGACGATAGATTGTCGGATCAGGGAGAGGAGTACCATCCTCTGGTCGTAAAAGAAGATGTTGTTCCATAGGAACATCAGATGTTCGAGAACCAGTCATACTAGAATCAGATAAGATGTTAAGGGTATATTTTCTTTGACATAGAAAAATCCCTTGTTTAGATCAAGACACTTCAATACCTAAAAAATATCGAAGATTGCCAAGATCTTTTACAGAAAAAGATTGAGCGAGAAATTGTTTAATTTCAACGATGGCATCATCATTATTGCCAGTGATAATAATATCATCGATATAGACGAGAACAAAAATAGAAGTCTGATCATGAATATATATAAAAAGACTGTAGTCTGCAACAGATTGTTGAAAACCTCGATGAATAAGAGTGGTTGAGAATTTAGAGAACCATTGACGAGAAGCTTGTTTGAGACCATAGATAGATTTATTTAATTTGCATACACGAGTCTCCCCTTTACGAGAGAAACCGGGAGGATGTTTCATATAAACTTCCTCATTGAGATCTCCTTGGAGAAATGCATTGTTGACATCGAGTTGATGTAGAGACCAATTTTTAATAACAACAATGGAGAGTAGGAGACGAACAATGACTAGTTTGGCCACAGGTGCGAAGGTATCATGATAGTCGATTCCTTCAACTTGAGTATAACCTTTGGCAACTAAACGAGCTTTATATCTCTCAATTGAACCATCTGATCGATATTTAATTTTGTAGACCCATTTACAACCAACGGGTGATTTTCCCTGGGGAAGTGAGCATAAAGACCAAATATTATTTAATTCAATGGCCTGAATTTCTTGGGCCATGGCATCGCGCCATTCACTAGATTTCATGGCTTGAGAATAAGAGCGTGGTTCTTGATGTTCAATAATATTTGTTAGAAAAACACGATGAGAATGACTTAGATGGGACAAAGAAAAATAATTGGCTAGTGGAAAATCAGTTGAAGGTGAAATATGGTTACAAATATAATCTTTGAGATGACC